ACTCATTTTAGCAGAGGTGGGCAGGGAGAGGTTTGAGCCAGGCTGGGCCACCCCTTGGTCCCCCCTCAGCATTTTCACTGTGGTGGTGTTCACAGTGGTCCCAGAACAAAGGAGGAGACAAGAATCTTGACTCCATGTTTCAGAAGGCTGATTTATTATTTTATGATCTATTTTATATTAAAAGAAAAGGATATACTAAAACTATACTAAAAGAATAGAAGAAAGGATTTCATCAGAAGGGGAGGGAAGAGGAAGGGAAGGGAAGAGAAGGGAGTGGCGGAAGGAAGGAAGGAAGTGGCGGAAGGAAGGAAAGGAAGGAAAGGAAGGAAGGAAAGAAGGAAAGAAAGTGGCGGAAGGAATCTTGTGACTGACCAGAGAGTCCAAGACAGCTGGACTTTGATTGGCCATTAATTAAAAACAGCCACATGAGACCAATCAAAGATGCCCCTGTTGATTCCACAGCAGCAGGTTATTATTATTTACATTTAGTTTCTGAAGTCTCTCAGCTTCTCAGGAGAAAAAATCCTAGCAAAGGATTTTTCAGCAAATGTATCTGTGACATTTTCACCTGTGTGTTCACAGGCCTGGGGATGGTCACGGCGTTCCTGTGTGTGTCCTGGTCTCTGCTGGATTACCACCAGTCCCTGCGCTCCTTCCTGCAGGACAAGTACGAGCTGAGCCGGAGCTCCTCCATCGTTTACTTCCTCTGGAACCTCTTCCTCATCTGCCCCCGCATCCTGGCGCTGGCGCTCTTCGCCCTGCTCTGGCCCTATGGCATGGCTGTGCACTTCTCCCTGCTGTGGCTGGCCATGTTCCTGTGGGTCAGCCTGCAGGGCACAGACTTCATGGAGTCACCGGGCTCCGAGCAGCTTTACCGGGCCATGGTGGCTGTGATCCTCTACTTCAGCTGGTTCAACGTGGCACAGGGCAGGACGCTGCACCGCAGCATCATCTACCACGGCTTCATGCTGGTGGACAGCACCCTGCTGGGCCTGGCCTGGCTCTGGGGCCGGCCTCCTGAGGAGGAGGAGGAGCACTCATACCTCATCCCTGTGGTGTCTGCAGCCCTGCCCTGCTACCTGCTGGGGCTGGGGCTCAGGGTCACCTACTACAAATGGCTGCACCCCAACGTGCGGGTGCGGCAGGAGGGCAGATATGACGAGGTGGATGCCAATGGAGGAGGGGATGGGGTGGAGTTTCGCTCGTTTTTGGAACCAGACCTGGTCAACAGGCGGATGCAGTGGCTGGCCCAGAGCCACTTCTCCTTGTCCCAGCCAGCACAGCAGCACTTCCTGAATGGAGATGCTGCTGTGGAGTCTGCTGTGTGAGGGCAGCTCCTCTAAAGGGACATCGGGGGGAGGTACACTTGTTGGTGTGCCCCTGGTTGTGCCCCCCAGGCTGTTGTTTTGGACAGCTGGAGGGAGCTGGCAGAAACCGGGGGTGGTGTGCAAACACCCAGTGAGTCCCATGGCACTCAGCATGGCTCCCATGGCTGTACCCTCGGGGAAAGCCACAGTGTGGGGAGTCCAGCACATTGTAGCATCTGGCTGCACTGCTCTGTCTACTTTTCTTGTTATTTATTTGTAGCTTTTTCAAAAAAAGAAAAATGAAAACAAGAGCACTGGTTTATTTTCTCTGTGCCTGTCCTGTGCCTGCTGCTGCCAGTGCTGTGCTGGGATCTGGGTGGTGGGGCAGGGAGGATCTGTTTCCTCCATGGTTGTGGCCATCTGACCTTTCTGTTTCCAGCCAGGCTTTTCCTCCTTGTGTTATTTTAGGCTTTAAGGTCAAAGCTCACCTGTTATCAGTGTGCTCAGGGAGGGCTGTGCTGGGAGGAGCCCCAGGGTGGCTCAGGGCTTGGACACCTCATGCTGCCCTGGCTGCCATGCCCACCACCACAGCCTGGGCAGGGCTCCCAAGGCCACAGCACTGCTCAGCCATTGGTGGCTGTTGGTGTGGTCAGCAGTGGGCTCGGTGTGTGCCAGCTCCTGGGCACAGACACCCAGCACTCCCCAGCTGGGGCTGCCTCCACCCAGCTCAGTGCCCAAACCCAGAGCAGCCCCTGCCCTTTGCTGATGCCCAGCTGGCAGCTGGGGCACATCCTGGCTGCCCACAGCAGCTTTGGCTCCTTCCCCCATCTCCATCACATCCCTCCCAGGAGGAAATTCCGTACCAGGGAAGGCATCAGGATGCAGCTGGAGGAGCAGCTGAAGGCATCTGCTCACAGCTGTTTCACAGATGCTCCTGTGAGCAGCTCAGCCTGCCCAAGGCCAGCAGCACAGGGTGGGAGAGGGGTGTTGCCTTGTGCAAAAGAATGGGAAGGGAATGTTTTGTGCAGGAAAACACCTCAGCAGGGTCCAGGAGCAGCTCCCGCCCCACTGGCTCCCCAGGATCGTGGGGCTCTGGTGGCTGCACTGTGACCTGTGGCACCCTGAGTGCTCCTGGTGCTGCCAGGCCTGGTTTGAGCTGTCACAGGGGCAGAGAACAGGCTGAAGCACTGACTATAGAAAATAAAGACTTTATTATTTTTTCCAGTTCACAGGACAGTTCCCATTACAGACCATGAACAGGCAAAGGCCCCACGGGCAGCAGCACCTGAGCCCACCCTCACAGCAGAGCAACAGAGGTGCTGTGGGCTCCAGGGTCCTGCTGCTTCCCACCAGTGCCAGCACAGACATCTCCCCAAGGGCTCTTGGAGGCAACAAATGTTAGAGGATCAGGTGGTTTTTAAAGCCTCTGTGGCTGTGTTGAAGCTGAAGGGGAAGCCAGCAGCACCCAGGTGAGCTCAGTGCTCTGGGCCTGCAGGCTGACTGTCCTTCAGGTGTTCAGGTTTGCTCTCCCCTTACCCCTGACCTGACTGTAGCTGAACTGGTGACAGAGACAGGAGAAAATCAATGCTTGGACAGAGATGCTGTTCTTGCCTCAAAAGAGACAGGAAAAGGCTTAAATTCAGCCAGTAGAGGAAAAAATAAAATAGCCAGGTCACCCCTTTATTAACAAACACAGAAATGTACCATCAACCTCCTGTTATAAAAGTACTTTACATACATTCAAGGAAACATCATATAAATACCAGTATGAAATGTCAGTGGCTGCGAGTTCCACACTCAGCTAAAATTTTACCAACATCTTAAAATTTCCTTAAAACATTTGAAGTAAACAAACACAAAGCACAGCCAGCTGCCAGGCAGCTCAGGCCTGCAGGTGCAGCACCTGCTGCCAGTGCCTGGGCAAACCCAGCCCCTCTCCAGCACAGCTCTGCTTCCCATGGCAGCAAAGCTCTGGGCTGCTCGGCTGTGCCGGTGGTGGGAGGTTAAGGCACAGGTTTTAATCCCAAATTCAGCCAGCTGGAGTATGAGAAATGCTCCCAACAGGCTGCTGCACAGGCTGGGCCAGCTCCCAACCTGCTTACAGGAGACCTTTGGATGGGCTGAGGGATGTTCAGCATCAGCACAGACCATTCTGTGACTAAAGTGAGTCCTGATCCTCTGGTGCCATTGCCAGCCCTGGCAGCAATGAGGCTGCTCCTCAGCACAGCTCTGGCACTTCACAGGGACCCCAGAGGAACTGGAGCTGCCTCAGCTGCCTGGAACAGGAGCAGACAGAGAACACCTCTGGGTGCTGCTCCCCTTTCCAAACCCACTGCTGAGCACTCCCAGCACAGCCTGTTTGCTCCCTGGGCAGCCCAACACCCTCTGCTGAGCTGCCCAGTGACACCCAGAGCAGATTGCTCAGATTTTCCTCATGGATGAGCAGCTCCCACACAGACAGCACGTTCCTGCTGCAGAGCTCCTGGGGAAATACACACACCCTGTATCCACCTGGCAAGGAGCTGAACAGAAAACAGATCACTCCTGACTCCAGTGACCACCCTGGAGAAAGAGAATCGCCTTTGATTCCAATTTAATTAATCTAAAAAAACCCAAAAAAAAAACAAACCCAAAGGGAAAGTGGAGCTGGTTCCATGTGAAATAAACCTCCCAAGTCCAGTCCCTGAGCACGAGGTATCCAAACCCTGGCTCCAGGCACCTTCTGCCCCCTGGGCACTGGAGCTGGCCCAGGATGCCCCCAGGGCACAGCAGAGTCTGTGCAGAGCTGGCCCAGCAGCTCCCCCTGCACTGATGGAAATGAACTCTCAGTAATTAAAGCCCTGAAAGGGAGGGAGGCAGCAAACACATCCTGCCTGTGTGGGCACAGCAGATGGGTCAGTGTCCTCCTGCAGTGACACCTTCAGCCCAGCCCCCAATGGCTGATGACCACGATCTGGAGGGGTCAGGTCTGGCTCTGCAGGAGCAGCAGCAGCAGGTTCTGGGGCACAGCACACTCCTGTCAGGGCTGATCTGGTGCCATCAGGGCACATGGGGGAGACCCCCAAACACAGCTGAGTTGGCACAAAAGCAGCCCAGTCCTTGCTGGCTGTTCCTGCCCAGGGAACAGGTCACTGACTCCAGCCTCTGCTCTTGGACAGTTGCAGAAAAATCAGCATCACCATCCCTCCCAAGTGCTCCATGCTGCCAAGTCACAGTGTCTTAGAAAATTAAGTCCCTCTTAACAAGGCATTTGTTTGTCACTATGTAGTTAGGCTAATGCAAAGAATATAAGAAAATTGAATCTGATTCTACTCAAAGAACTTACAAATAGGGTCAGGAACACAGAGGTGAAGGTTATACCATAGCCAGAGCCTTCTCTGCAACATTCATGAGGATTTAGGAATTAGATTATTCCTAGTCCAGGTGAGGACTCTGTTCACATCTGAGCAGTCTGCACCAGTCTGCTGTACCTGATGTTCACAGGCAATTCCATTTTGATTTGCAGGGAACATCTGTGGGATCTACAGTCCAAAGGCTGAAATCCAGTGATCTCCTGCTGGCTAAAAGGGCTTCTGCACTAGAAGCCACTGGGATCAATTCAGAACACCAACACTTGCCTCTACAAGGAACCACATATTCCAGAAGCATTCCCTTACCTTTATATTTTCCAGTAATCCCACACTGAGGAAATAACATAAGGACATTGTAATAAATTAACTGTTTTGAACACCCAGGGAAGGAGAGAGGACACATTTTACAGCAATAGAGGTATTTTTGACATTTTCATTAATATTTCCTATGAAAAAAACCCACAGCTCTTCGGCTTTGCAAAACAAAGGAGGTTCAAGCTCTGCCATCAGCGTTTTCCTATAAAAATAAATTTTTGTGTTTACTTGGGTTCTACAACTAAGCTGAATAGAAAGAAGAAGGCTCTTACACATAAATCTGCTGTTTTATGGCCCCTCCCTCTGGAGGCCAGAGGCATTCAGCTGGCTCTGTAAGTCCCTTCTGCACACAAGCTCTAGCTCTGCTGAGTCCAGGGCTTCTTCACAGGACACCTTGGACTTGGCAGGGCCTGTGCTCCCAAGGAACAACCTGCTGTCATTTCCCACTGCACAGTTTGCATTAGGTATGTTTTCTTCATCAAGCTGAAAGGTGAGTCCCCAAACATGTGAGATTTCTGTCCCCCCGGGAATGGAGAGGGCTGGCAGGAGCTGCAGTCGTGTCTTTGCTCCACCTTCTTACAGGAAGTCCAACTCAAGGGCTTGGTGAAGGGACACGAGGTCAGCGTGGTTTGTGATCCTCCAGAATGGCATGTTGTGCTGTGAAGAGAGAGGACAGCCAGGTTCATGCAGGGATTTTCAGTGAGGTGAAAGCATGCAGGGCTGTGCAGGGTGGTGGTTCTGAGCTCACCACTCTCAGGACACACATCTGGATCTGGGGCCCATCTCGTGTGCACAGCTGTGTGTGACAGGCACCAGCACTGACTGCCAGCTGCTCACCATGGAAACCTTGGCTGGGAGCTGCTGCTGCAGCCAGGAATGCCTGAGCAGGCTCACAGCTCTGGCACAGGGCAGAACGTGTGAAGCCTGCAGAGTCAAGGTCCTGACAGTCATCTCTGCACTCACTACTAATTAGCACAACTGAACAACCCATCCAGGCCTGTCCAAATCAATCAATCAATCAATCAATCAATCAATCTCTTTGTTCCTTGTTTGTACTCAGTCTAATGGCAGGTGCTGTACTGATCTGCTGCTGATCCTGAGCCCTGACTCCTCCACACTCCTGAGGAACTGCAATATCCTGACAGTCACAGGCTATGATCAGCATACAGAACCACAGAATCATCAAGGGTGGAAGGGACATCCAAAATTGTCACCATGATACTTTCTGAAAAATCCTCTTTGCCCAGGATTTTCTCCTGGGAAGCTGAGAGGCCTCAGAAAAGAATGAAAACAATAATTATGTGATTGTTTGGGAATGTGGTCTGGAGATCATTTACCAACAGGTGCATCTTTGGTTCCATGTGAACTGTTTTTAATTAATGACCAATCACCATCAGCTGTGTCAGACTCTGAGGAGTCAGTCATGAGCTTTCATGATCATTCTTGTTAAGCCTTCTGATGTATCCCTCCTCTTTC